TTTCGATTTCAAAATAAAATTCTATTTTTCTTTTGGAAAATTTAAATCGAAATTTATTGGTTTTTTTTCCTTCTAGAAATTTTTGTAACAAAATTTCGTTTTTGAAAGAAAATTTCCTTTTTCTTGTAAATTTTTTGTTGTACAAAATTTTTGTTTGAAAACATTTTTTTTTTTTTGAAAGAAACAAAAATTTCCTTTTTCTCAGAAATGTTAAGAAAAATTTTCCGTTTTTGCAAAAATATTAATTTTTCAATGCAAAAATTTTTTTTTGAATTTTTTTTTTTTTCATTTCAAAACCCTAAGAAACAAAAAAAAACTTCGACAAAATTACGTGAAAATTAATTTTTTCCGAGAAAAAAAAAACAAAGAGAAAATTGTTTTCCTTATCAATTTTTTTCAATTATGGAAAATGACGAAAATTTTCATTTTCAAAAAGGAAATATAAATAATAAAAGAAATTATTGATAACGAAAAAGTAGAGAGAGAGAGAGAGAAAGAAAGAGACGCGAGAAATCAAAATGAGAATATTGAAGATTCTCCATTTTCTTTTTTCTCCATAACAATAAAATTCTTCAGATAACAACTTTTTCGCTCTCTTTCTCTCTCTCTCTCTCTCTTTCCCTCTCCAATAATTCAGACTTTGAGAATACTAAAGTAAAACTCTGAAATCTAGGTTAAATTCGTATTCTTGAAGATGTTTTTTCTTTTCTAAATTTCAAGAACAAAAAGTTTGTTTGTGGTATTTTTGCAATAAAACGAAAAACAAAAGAAGAATTTCACTTTTTAAAAGTAGTGATTTTTTTAGTCATTTTTTCTTTCAGACTTCAAACAGAAAAAAATGGTTAACATTTAAAAAAAAAATTGTTTGCATTGAAAAATTGTAAATTATTTTTAATTACGATACTAAAAATAATAATAATAATAAAAAAATATTATTCAATATATTATAATGAATAATTTTAATTATTATTTTATGAAACTTTATATTATTATATTATTTATAATAATATTTATTATAACAAAATATAATTATTTTTTATTTATTTATTTATAAATTTTATTATAAAATAAATAAATCTTTGTTAATTATTATTATTACTATTATTTATTTCAATAAAATATAATTATTAGTATTATAATATAATACATAATAATTATTTATTTGTAATTTAATTTATTATTAATAATTTATTATAAATTATTAAATTATAAATTGTGAATTATAAAATCGTAAATTATTAAATTGTAAATTACATTTTTTTAATTTTGAATTAAACCAAGTCCACTTCTGGGCCGAAAGGCTGAAGCTTAATTAATAAATAATATTAAATTGTAAATTATTAGATTGTAAATTACGAAATTATTAAATTCTTCTAATAAATTATTAAAATTAAAGAAGAATTCATTGAAAAAATTCAATTAGTCAAATTTTTTTTTCGAAATCAGTAAAGAAAATTAAATTTTAAACCTTTTTGTTAAATCAAGTGAATCAGACAGATTTTTTCGTTGGAAGGCAAAAAAAAAAAAAAAAAAAAAAAAAAAAAAAAGAATGATATTTGAAAGACGTTTGTTTCTAAAATCTAAGCTATTAAAGACTCGTACGACAGTTTCACTGCGCAGTCCCCGTTTTATTATTATTATTATATTTTTTTTTTCATTTTTCTTTCTTTTTAGAGATTATCTAAAATCCATCTAACTAGACGTGATAATGCGTGGCTCTCTGTGTGTGTGTTTGGTGATTATTAAATGTGTGATCAAGCCCCGTATCGTGGTGTATCACAGAACAATTGTAGTAGTTTTTTTTTTATTATATATATATATAGATAGATATTTCTTTCTCTCTCTCTCTTTCTCTCTCTATTTTCCTTTCTCTCACTTTCGCTCTCTTTCTTTCTCTTTTTCTCTCTCTCTCTCTCTTTCTTTCTTTCTATCTCTTTTTCTATATATATATTTATATATATAATTAACGTAATAATATTTTTTTTTTTTTACGTACGAATTCTTAAAAAGTAGATCAATGTTAACGAGCCGTGATGGAGATGAATGAATGGTAAAATGTAGCGACAAATGCAAGCGCTATAGTGATGCTGCGATAGGTGACAAAGACGGGTGGTAAATTATTTTAATTTTTTTTTTAACGAGCGATATTTGGTGAATTTTCATTTTTTTTTTTTTTTAGTGAAATGGTAAAGTGACTTTTTTTTGAAAAAATAAAAACAAAGCTATGATATTTTGAAAAAGAAACACACAGGGGAAGAGAATTATTAGAAAAAAAGTTCATTTCAAAAAAAAAATTTTCATTTCCCATTTCATTTTAAAAATATTAATTAATTAATTAACTAAATTAATTGAAATCTCAATTTTTGAAAAAATTTTTTTTAATGACCTTTTCTCCGTTTTATAAGCGACAGGAATTTTTTTTTTGCTATTTGTTCTTTTATTTTTTAAATCCAGAAAATAGTTTGTTTTTATTTAAATGTTAAAAAGCAAAAAATTAGCTAATTTAAAAAAAAAAATGAATTTTACTGAAATTTTTGAAGTATTTTTTTTTTTTTGGAAACAAATATTACTTTTATCATTACAAAAATTATTTGTTTCTAGATTTCAATAAAAAAAAAAAATACACTAAGTTCAAATTTTCTTTTCAGAGACAAATATTTGAGTTTTGAACACAAAAAAAATATGTTTTATTTTTCTTATCAAAAAAAAAAAATTATTATTTTCCGAACAAATATTATCAAGAGAAAAAAAAAGAGAATTCTGTAATTTCAAATTTTTTCATTTTCCGAAGCAAATATTTACTGAAATCAGAATTTGTTTCTTTATTGATTTTAATTTTTGAAAGTCAACAAAATTTGTTCAATTTCCATTGTATTTTGGTTTCTAATTCGGAAAATATTTGTTTTTTTTCCCGATTTTAATTTTTTTTCGAAAGTTAAGAAATTTTTTTCTAATTCAGAAAATATTTGTTTTTTTTTGACGATTTAAATTTTCGAAAGTTAAGATATTTTGTTAATTTTCAATTTTTTGTTTTTCTAACTCGAAAAATATTCGTTTTTTACCGATTTCAATTTTTGAAACAATAATAATAATAATAATAATAATAATAATAATAATAATAATAATAATAATAATAATTTTCTTTTCAGAAACAAATAATAAATTTACATAATGAGAAAATATTTGTTTACCAAAAAAAAAAAGTAAAAATATTTCATTTCCATCGATTCTTGAAATAAATTCCAAATTTTCGCCAAAAAAAAAAATCCACTAAATTTTCAAAGTGAATTTTTTTTTCCTAATTTAAAAATTCCTGTCGCATCACCGAATAAGAAAATTCGAATTCTCCAATAAAATGGGAATGAAAAAGCAAAAGAAATAGAAAAAAAGAAAGAATTGTGTGTTAAAATGATAAAAGCGAGAAAAGAAAAAGAGAGACAAAAATTGGAAAGAAATGAAAAGGAGAAAAAAAATTGAAAAAAGAAAAAAAAGTACAAAATTGCAAAATTTTTGAATTTTTACAATTTCGTACATTTCTAGAAAGGACAAAAAAAAATGTAAAAATAGAAGAAAAAAAATAGAAATGTACAAAATTTCGAATTTTCCTCAGAAAAAACTTTATAAAAAAAAAAAAATTCGATTCGATTCGAAATTTTTCGATTATTTTTTAATTAAATCGAATTTTTAAAATTTCATACATTTCTAGAGAGGAAAAATAAAAATCTAAAAATAGAAGAAAAAAAAAAAGTAGAAATATGCAAAAAAATTTCGAATTTCTTTTTTTTTTTACATTGACACGAAATTCAATTCAAATTGAAATTTAAACTAATTTTTTACCGAATCAAATTTTCTTCTATTTTGCATATTTCCAGAGGGGGAAAAAAAAATTGAGAAAATATAAAATAAAAAATAAAATGTAGAAATTTGCAAAAAAATATCAAACAATTACAATTTCGTACATTTTTTTTCAGAAAAATAGAAAAAAAACAGAAATGTACAAAATTTTTGAATAATTTTTACACTCAAAATTCGATTCGAAATTTTTTTTTTTAACTAATTTTCAATGAAATCGAATTTTTACAATTTCGTACATTTCTAGAAAGGACAAAAAAAAATGTAAAAATAGAAAAAAAAAATTAGAAATGTGCCAAAATTTTCGAATTTTTACAATTTCGTACATTTCTACAGGAAAAACAGAAATGTACAAAATTTTGAATTTTCTTTTTTTTTACATAGACTCGAAATTCGTTTCGAATTTTTTTTTCTTCTAATTTTTACAATTTCGTATATTTCTAAAACGAAAAAAATTTATTTTTAATTTTAATTAAATTTGAAAAAAAAAAATGTAGAAATTGTGCAAAATTTCCAATTTTCTTTACAAGAGAAAATTCGCACCAATTTCCACTGGAATCGAATTTTTTCGACAATTTCGCACATTTCTGCAAAGAAAAGAGAAAAAAGAGAAAAAAAATACAAAAAGCAAAAATAGAAAGAGAGAAAGAGAGCCTTAGGGAAGAAAAACAAGAATGAGAAGGATGCAATTTTTTTGTTTCTTTTTTTTTCCCACGTTTTCAGAAAAATAGAGAATGCAGCAAACGAAAAAGAAGAGGATTGTGAATAATTAATTAATTAATTATCTCTCTCGAATATTTTTTTTTTTTTTTTCAATGAATCATGCCGGCAATAGCATTATGACGCGCACGTTTCGCCTCCTCTTCGCTGATCCTCTGCTCGATGAGATATTGAGCAGTGCCAATGGCATTTGGAAAACCCGTGATAGTCACTATACGATTCCTTGTACCAGGCGCAAACATGCCCTTCTTCGAGATTTGTATGTTGGCCCCACTAAGGTGCTGAATCTCAATTAGGGCACGACCACCGGGTCCAAGAATAGCTCCCACTATAACCTCTGCAATTTCTATATCTACTTTCTTGGTCTCCTTGTTGTTAATGGTTGTTGCATCAACCACCTGTACCGTCTGATTAGGACTCTTACTTACAAGTGATAATTGATTTGTTCCCAAGCCAAATGAATTGTTGTTGAGATGAATGGCACTGGCTGCTGCTGCCGCGGCGGCCGCCGCTGCCGCTGCTGCTGTATTATTCTGACGAAATGGATCGAATGGCTCAAAACGATCGAGTGCATTGCGTGGCGTTGGCGATGTTGAACCCAATGATGGTACTGTTCCAATTGGACCAAATACACCGCCACCTCCATTATTATTTGAACCATTAACTGTTGTTGTACTGTCCATTGGTGTGCCAAGATAATTTAAACCCGATGGCATACCAATGCCCATACCAAGAATATTATATTTGGCGAGTGTTGCAATTGATGTTAAGATCTCGGTCACGGCCGGTTCAGTGAAGCCAGTCGTTCGCAAGTTCAATTTCAAATGTTCCAACAGCTGTTGTGTTACTGGCGCGGTTCCCGTTGTTATTGCCGTGCCTAAATTCAAATTCAGACTGAGACCCGCGCCATTCAAAAGGCTCACTGAAAACAGAGAAAGTAGTTATAACAATTTTTGTTTTTCCAAATTATTCTTTCTTTAATGGGAAAAAAAATACAATTTTTTAAAAATTTATTTACGTTTTACAAAAGTAATATTTGTTTTTCTTTTTAATACTTCAACTATTTTTTAATTCAAAAATTTTATTTCAATTTTTTTTCACTTTTCCAAAGCAAATATTTACTGAAATCAGAAAATACATTTATGTTTTGATTTTAGTTTTTGATATCAAAAAATTTTTTTAATTTTCCATTGTCTTTGGGTTTCTAATTCACAAAATATTTGTCTTTTCTCAATTTCAATTTTTTTTTTTAAAGTTAAGAAAATTTTTTTCTAATTCACCAAATATTTGGTTTTTTTTTGCCGATTTTAAATTTTGAAACTTAAATTTATTAATTTTCCATTTTTTGTTTTTCTAATTCGGAAAATATTTGTTTTTTTTTTTTGCCGATTTCAATTTTTGAAAGTTGAGATATGTATAAAAATTTTTTGTATTAAACAAATATTTTCTAACGTCATGTAAATTTATTTGTTATTTTTTTCTATTTATTTCTGAAAAGAAATTTAGAAATTAGAAGAATTTTTCTGTTTTTGTTTTTCCAAAAATTAAAATTGTTAAGAAACAAAATTAGAAAAAAAATTTCTAAACTTTTAAAAAAACAAAAAAAATTGAAATTGAGAAAAAACAAATATTTTGTGAATTAGAAATCCAAAGACAATGGAAAATTTAAAAAAAAAAAACAAATATTTTATGAATTGTATAAAAAAATTTCTTAACAATTAAAAAAAAAATAAATAAATAAAATCAAGAAAAAACAAATATTTTCCGAATTAGAAAAACCAAAAAGTGGAAAATTAATAAATTTAAGTTTCAACAATTAAAATCGGCAAAAACAAAAACAAATATTTTCTGAATTAGGAAAAAAAAATTCTTAACTTTCAAAAAAAAAAAAAAAAGAAAAATTGAAATCGTGAAAAAACAAATTTTTCGAATTAGAAACAAAAAGAATGAAAAAATTTGTTTTTTCATATAATAAATATTTGTTTTTGTTTTTGCCGATTTTAATTGTTGAAACTTAAATTTATTAATTTTCCATTTTTTGTTTTTCTGATTCGGAAAATATTTGTTTTTTCACGATTTTATTTATTTTATTTTTTTGAAAGTTAAGAATTTTTTTTCTAATTCAGAAAATATTTGTTTTTGTTTTTGCCAATTTTAATTGTTGAAACTGAAATTTATTAATTTTCCATTTTTTATTTTTCTAATTCGGAAAATATTTGTTTTTTCACGATTTTATTTATTTTATTTTTTTGAAAGTTAAGAATTTTTTTTCTAATTCAGAAAATATTTGTTTTTGTTTTTGCCGATTTTAATTGTTGAAACTGAAATTTATTAATTTTCCATTTTTTGTTTTTCTAATTCGGAAAATATTTGTCTTTTCTCAATTTCAATTTTTTTTTTAAAGTTAAGAAAATTTTTTTCTAATTCACAAAATATTTGGTTTTTTTCTGCCGATTTTAAATTTTGAAACTTAAATTTATTAATTTTCCATTTTTTGTTTTTCTAATTAGGAAAATATTTGTTTTTACTCGATTTTATTTATTTATTTTATTTTTTTGAATTGTTAAGAAAATTTTTTATACAATTCAGAAAAAATATGTTTCTTTTTTTTGCCGATTTCAATTTTTGAAAGTTGAGATATGTATAAAAATTTTTTGTATTAAACAAATATTTTCTAACGTCATGTAAATTTATTTGTTATTTGTTATAATTTATTTCTGAAAATAAATTTAGAAATTAGAAGAATTTTTCTGTTTTTGTTTTTCCAAAAATTAAAATTGTTAAAAAACAAAATTAGAAAAAAAATTTTTAAACTTTTAAAAAAACAAAAAAAATTGAAATTGAGAAAAAACAAATATTTTGTGAATTAGAAACCCAAAGACAATGGAAAATTAAAAAAAAAACAAATATTTTCTTAATTGTATAAAAAAATTTCTTAACAATTAAAAAAAAAATAAAATAAATAAAATCGAGAAAAAACAAATATTTTCCGAATTAGAAAAACCAAAAAACTAATTCGGAAAATATTTGTCTTTTCTCAATTTCAATTTTTTTTTTTTTTTTTAAAAGTTAAGAAAATTTTTTTCTAATTCACAAAATATTTGGTTTTTTTCTGCCGATTTTAAATTTTGAAACTTAAATTTATTAATTTTCCATTTTTTGTTTTTCTAATTCGGAAAATATTTGTTTTTTCTCGATTTTATTTATTTATTTTCTTTTTTTTGAATTGTTAAGAAATTTTTTTATACAATTCAGAAAATATATGTTTCTTTTTTTTGCCGATTTCAGTTTTTGAAAGTTGAGATATGTATAAAAATTTTTTGTATTAAACAAATATTTTCTAACGTCATGTAAATTTATTTGTTATTTTTTTCTATTTATTTCTGAAAAGAAATTTTTAGAAATTAGAAGAATTTTTCTGTTTTTGTTTTTCCAAAAATTAAAATTGTTAAAAAACAAAATTAGAAAAAAAAGGAAAAATTAACAAAAATATCTCAATTATCAAAAATTACAATCGGCAAAAAAATCAAATATTTTCTGAATTAGATAAAAAAAAAAATTTCATAACAATTGAAAAAAAATAAATTAAATAAATTAAATCGGGAAAAAACAAATTTTTTTTCGAATTAGAAAAACAAAAAATGGAAAATTAATAAATTTAAGTTTCAAAAATTGAAATCGGCAAAAAAAAACAAATATTTTCTGAATTGTACAAAACAAATTTCTTAACAATTCAAAAAAATAAAATAAATAAATAAATAAAATCGAGAAAAAACAAATATTTTCCAAATTAGAAAAACCAAAAAGTGGAAAATTAATAAATTTAAGTTTCAACAATTAAAATTGGCAAAAACCAAAACAAATATTTTCTGAATTAGAAAAAAAAATTCTTAACTTTCAAAAAAAAAGAAAAATTGAAATCGTGAAAAAACAAATTTTTCGAATTAGAAACCAAAAGAATGAAAAAATTTGTTATTTCATGATTTCAATTTTTTTTTCTTTTTTTTTTTTGAAAGTTAAGAATTTTTTTTTCTAATTCAGAAAATATTTGTTTTTGTTTTTACCGATTTTAAATTTTGAAACTTAAATTTATTAATTTTCCATTTTTTGTTTTTCTAATTCGGAAAATATTTGTTTTTTCCCGATTTTATTTATTTAATTTATTTTTTTGAATTGTTAAGAAATTTTTTTTATCTAATTCAGAAAATATTTTTTTTTTTTTGCTGATTTCAATTTGTGAAAGTTGAGATATTTTTGTTAATTTTTCCCTTTTTTTTCTAATTTTGTTTTTTAACAATTTTAATTTTTGGAAAAACAAAAACAGAAAAATTCTTCTAATTTCTAAATTTCTTTTCAGAAATAAATAGAACAAATAAATAAATTTATATGACGTTAGAAAATATTTGTTTACTACCAAAAAAATGCTTATTTTACCGATTTTTTAAAATAAATTCAAAATTTACGTAAAAAAATCCACAATTTTTTTTCTAATTCAGAAAATATTTGTTTTTTGCCATTTTCCAAAAAAATTTAATTTTACCATTTGTTTCCAATTCAAAAAAATATTTGTTTTTTTTACCAATTTCATTTTTCAAAAATCAAGAAATTTTGGTAATTTTCAAATTTTTATTTCAAAATTTAATTTGTAATTCAAAAAAAAAAAAAAAAATCTCCCAAGTTTAAAGAATATTAATAATTTATTTCAACTCTAAAGTGAATGATTGTTATAGATTAAGTTTAAGTACTTTTTTTTGCTTTGTTTCTTGCACGCGACTAATTTTCAAAAACAAAGAAAAAACAATATATATCTTCTTTTATTATCTACGGACAAAGAACAATAAATAATTATTATTATTATACGCTTGAAAAACGTGGATATTTCCTTTTCAAGAAAATGTTATTCACTAAAAACACGAATTCAATGTGAAGATAAATTAATCGCTGATAAATTTAACTGCAATTTTTTTGCTTAAATAATTTATTCACATTATCAGAAAATATGTTTTAATCTCCGCATTTTTTTTTTTAATCTATAGAATTTAATCGACACGAGAAAAATTAACATTTCATTAAACAAAAAGGAATTTTTTTTTCTCAATTATATTAGTAATAGTTTTTTTTTCTTTCAATTAAAATATTATTAAATACAAAATATGTCAATTTTTTTCCAATAGATATATATTTTTTTTTATTTCTTACCAAAAGACACGTTTTTTTTATATACAAATAAAGAAACAAATAAATAAAGAAATAAAAATAGAAATAAATAAATTTAATGAAGGAGAAAATAGATAGAAGGCAAAATATTTATATTAAAAATTTAACCGAAAGAAAAATAAAAAGAAAATTGAGTAAATTTTCAATAAATAAATAAAATAAATAGAATTGCAATAAATTTAAAAAAAATATAGAATAAATAAAAATAAATAAATACAAAGGAAAAATACAAAAAATACAAAATTTAACAAATTACAAATAAAAAAATTCGATCCAAATTAAAAAAAAAACAGAAAAATACATTAAAAAGAAAATTTTACTTTAAAAAAAGAAATTCAAAATACCTACTTTGAAGAAAAAAAAACGAATTTTTAATTAAAAGTGATTTGTCGCCAATATTTAAAATGGTAATAATAATTATTGAAAAAAATAAAAATAAATCACAAACCTGTATTTAAACCTGCGGTGGATGTATATGTTGGTGTGCTCGTGGGGGCTTGAGCATATGGACTTCCGGTTGGATTATAATTGGCAACAGGACCACTGACGTCTGCGTAACTAACATTTAGACACGTTCCACTTTGTGGATCGTCAGCAACTTTTGCCAGGATCATCAGTAAAGCATTGCGATTATTTTCTTTTTCTCCAATAACGGTGATACAACGTTCCTGTAATGACAAATCTTTTGCCTTTTGACTAATTTGAACGTACGATCCCGATTCTTCTTTTATTTGTTTTATATAATTGCCCGCCTTTCCAATGATCATTCCGGCTGTGCTATTTGGTACTAGAATTTTCACCTAAAAAAAAAAAAAAACAGAAAACACACACAGAAAAAAATTAATAACAATTTTTTAATAAAAGTTTAAATACAAAACATTATTAGAAAAATAAAAACTGATTTTTTATTAACAAAAATTTATTATAATAACTCATTATAAAAAAAATATATTGTTTTTAATTATATTAATAGAAAATAAATTTTTCTTCAACCAACTTTGGATTAAACTAAATTTTTTCAAAAAGAATTTTTATTTCACAGAATTTTAACTGCGAAATTTTTTTAATTATTTAACTGAATTTTTGTAACAAAATTTTATTGAATTCTTTTTTAGTAGAATTTTTATTATTCCGAATTTGGATTTTTTTTTTATTATCAAAGAATTTTTATTTAGCCGAATTTGAATTAAACTAAATTTTTATGTTAAAGAATTTTTATTTAACAAAATTTGAATTAAATTAAATTTTTTTATATCAAAGAAGAATTTGTATTTAGCCGAATTTGTATTTAATTGAATTTTAGAAGAAAAAATTTTTATTTAACCGAAATTTATAAAGTAAAATTCATATTTAATCAAAGTTTTGTGCCAAAGAAATTTTATTTTACCAAATTTTTATTTAAACCAAATTATATGAAGTAAAATTCATATTTAACCAAAGTTTTGTGCCAAAGAATTTTTATTTAACAAAATTTTAATTAAAGTAAATTTTTTTTTATATCAAAGAATTTGTATTTACCCGAATTTGCATTTAATTGAATTTTAGAAGAAAAAATTTTTATTTTACCGAAATTTCTAAAGTAAAATTCATATTTAAGCAAAGTTTCGTTTTAAAGAATTTTTATTTAACAAAATTTTAATTAAATTAAATTTTTCTTTTAAATCAAAGAATTTGTATTTAGCCGAATTTGCATTTAATTGAATTTTAGAAGAAAAAATTTTTATTTAACCGAAATTTATAAAGTAAAATTCAAATTTAACCAAAGTTTTGTGCCAAAGAAATTTAATTTTACCAAATTTTTATTTAAACCAAATTATACAAAGTAAAATTCATATTTAACCAAAATTTTTCAATCAAAAATTTTTTATTTAAGTGAATTTCTATTTAATTCCAAATTTTGCAGTTTTAAAAATTTTACTAAAAGAAAATTCGTTTGAATAATTTTATTTTGAGATTCTCGATTTTTTATACTAAAGAATTTTTATTTTACAGAATTTGAACTGCGAAAATTTTTTTATTTAACTAAATTTTTGTATAACAATGAACTGTTTTTTTATTGAATTCTTTTTTAGTAGAATTTTTATTTAACAGAATTTTTATTCAGCTGAATTTGAAGAAAAATAAATTTTTTTGTATCAAAGAATTTTTATTTAGCCGAATTTGCAATTATCTGAATTTTAGTAGAAAAAATTTTTATTTAGCAAAATTTTTATTTAACCAAAGTTTCGTGCCAAAGAATTTTTATTTTTCCAAATTTTTATTTTAAACAAAATTATACGAAATAAAATTCATATTTAACCAAAATTTTTGAATAAAAAATTTTTTATTTAAATGAATTTCTATTTAATTCCAAATTTTGCAATTTTAAAAATTTTCGTAATTGAAAATTCATTTGAATAATTTTATTTTGAGATTTTTTAAACTAAAGAATTTTTATTTTACAGAATTTGAACTGCGAAATTTTTTTTTATTTAACTGAATTTTTGTATAACAAAGAACTGTTTTTTTTATTGAATTCTTTTTTAGTAGAATTTTTATTTAACAGAATTTTTATTCAGCTGAATTTGAAGAAAAATAAATTTTTTTGTATCAAAGAATTTTTATTTAGCCGAATTTGCAATTATCTGAATTTTAGTAGAAAAAATTTTTATTTAGCAAAATTTTTATTTAACCAAAGTTTCGTGCCAAAGAATTTTTATTTTACCAAATTTTTATTTTAAACAAAATTATACGAAATAAAATTCATATTTAACCAAAATTTTTGAATAAAAAATTTTTTATTTAAATGAATTTCTATTTAATTCCAAATTTTGCAATTTTAAAAATTTTCGTAATTGAAAATTCATTTGAATAATTTTATTTTGAGATTTTTTAAACTAAAGAATTTTTATTTTACAGAATTTGAACTGCGAAATTTTTTTTTATTTAACTGAATTTTTGTATAACAAAGAACTGTTTTTTTTATTGAATTCTTTTTTAGTAGAATTTTTATTTAACAGAATTTTTATTCAGCTGAATTTGAAGAAAACTAAATTTTTTTGCAGTAATGAATTTTTATTTAGCCGAATTTGCAATTACCTGAATTTTAGTAGAAAAATTTTTATTTAGCAAAATTTTTATTTAACCGAAATTTTTAAAGTAAAATTCATATTTAACCAAATTTTTATTTAGCCGAATTTTCATTTACCTGAATTTTAGTAGAAAAAATTTTTATTTAACCGAAATTTTTAAAGTAAAATTCATATTTAACCAAATTTTTATTTAGCCGAATTTTCATTTACCTAAATTTTAGTAGAAAAAATTTTTATTTTAAAAAATTTTTATTTAACCGATATTTTTAATGTAAAATTCATATTTAACCAAATTTTTATTTAACCGAAATTTATAAAGTAAAATTCATATTTAACCAAATTTTTATTTTAAACCAAATTATACGAAATAAAATTCATATTTAACCTAATTTTCAAAGTAAAAATTTTTCATTTAACAGAATTTCTATTTAATTACAAATTTTGCAATATAAAAATTTGTCTAAATGAAAATTCGTTTGAATAATTTTATTTTGAGATTCGGAATTTTTTTTTTTTTTTATAAAAATTTACTATTGTTTAATAAATAAAAAAAAATTATTTTCAAAAAAATCACTTTTCTCTCTATCTCTCTCATTATTTTTACATTAAATTATTAATTTTACCAATTTTTATTAAAAAAAACAAAAGAAAAAAAAAATTATTCTCGCTAAAATTGTTTCCGATTTGTTATACAAAGTTTTGCGATCAAGTTTTATTCAATAGTAATAGCTATTGATTATCATGCAAATTGCATTGTTGACGCTTTATTTTCTCGAATGACGAGTATTCAAATTTTATATATATATCTATATCTATATATTTGTGCAATAAAAAAAAATCAAGTCGAAGGTGTTTCTAATATTGATGATGAACAATATGAAAAGAGGCTTCGCGTGTCGATGAGGAAGATTATTATTTTTCGCAATAAAAAAAAAAAAAAAAAAATATCAAGGATATGATCATCATAACGATTATTATTAGTAAAGTGAAAATAAAAAAAGAGAAAATTAGACTAAAAAGAAAAAAAAAATTAAAAAAATTTTTTTTAAGCTAAAGAAAATTTTGAGAGCTGATAAAAAAAAAATTGAGACACTCAGAAATTAAATGCAAAATTGTACCAAGAAAACAAAGAAAAATCAACCGAAAATTTGGAACTGAAATTAAAATTCAAAATTGAAAAAAAAGGAAAAAAAATCCAATAAATTGAGAGAAAAATTCGCAGTGAAAAAATATAGAAAAAAAATCTAAATTGAGAGCAAAATTCGAAATATGGCAAAAAAGTTAGTAAATTATGAAAATAAAATTCGGAGTGAAATAATAGAGGGAAAAAAAAATTAGTAAATTGAGAATAAAATTCAGAGTGAAAAAAAAATCTAAATTGAGAGCAAAATTTATATTTTAACGGAGTGAAAAATTATGGGGGAAAAAAAAATCAGTAAATTGTGCGTAAAAAATAAAATAAAAAAATAGTGACTAAAAATGGTAAATACGATTAAAAATGTGTAAATGATTCACGTAAAATGAATTAATTCCGTTTTTTTCATTTCTTCTTCTTTTTTTTTTTAAGGATGCAAATGTCCTTTTTTTTAAACCCTATTAAGAGATTTCGAAGGTCAAAAGCGCGCGATGTATTTTTGAATTGTTCACATTTCTGATCATTAGCCATACAAGCCTATTCTAACTGGGTCATTGCTAACAAGCAAAAGTCTCATATACTCTCTGACTTCATTGCTCCCACTGGACGCATTTAATTTTCCCTTCAATATATATATATATATATATAAAGTGGTCGTGCTCATATTATGATTGTCGCCACACATTTATTACAAATTACATTAGACACATTGGGACATTCAGATTTCTCAATTATTCCTCCCTTAGAAAAAGATTTGCATAAAAAAAAAAATGAAAAACGAAAAAAAAATTCTTATTTATAAATAAAAAATAGAAGAATAGGAATTGTAAAAAAAAAAACTAAAATTAAAGACAGAATAAAAATAAAATAAAAATTTAAAATAAAAACAAAATTAACTGTAATAAAAACTAAAATTAAAAACAAAAATAAAATTAAAATTAAAATATAAACGTCAACAAAATAAAAACCAAAATTCAAAAAAATACAAAACAAAAAGAATAAAAATCAAAAAATAAAATATATAAAAAAAATGAAATACAGAATGACAATAATAAAATATTAAAATAAGAATCGAAATTAAATTTGTCCCGTCAATTAAATAAATAAAATAAAGGAAAATAAAAATAAATTAAAAAAAGAAACGAAATCAAAAATTTGAAAAAAAAGGAAAAAAATTAAAGTTTAAAGGAAAATGAATTTCAAATCGTTTTATGAATTGAAAATATGCGAAATTCAAACGTTTAATAATGTGTAAGTTCCGGAAATAAAATACCTTGAAACTAAAAGAGATTGAAATCAAGTTTTTGCTCAAGAAACAAGCAAAAGAAATAAAAAAAAAAAAAAAGAAAAAAATATTTAACAATAAAATCAAATTGTTGTTTTCTAATTGACGATTAATTTACATAATTATTTCAAACTATGAATTGAAAAATAATTTATGATGTAAATAAATAAATTAAATAAAATTACTGCTTCATTAATTTTGTATTTTCGAAAAAATAAATTTTGGCTTAAAAAAAAATTAATTCTAAAAATGAATTTTAATTAAAAAAAAGATGCATTAGAAGAAAAATGGAGGGGAAAAAAATCTGATCCTGCTAATAAAAAAAGAAAATCTCTCTCTCTTTCTCTCTCTCAAGACGCGCAGACAGAATCCTTAAGAAAATAATAATAATCATCATGGGAGAAAATATACGTTTTAAAATATCATTTTCAGTCTACCTTGAACGCATGTAGATTTTACACTTTAGAACTTGTATTAATATATTCAAACGTTTTTCCATTTGCATAAGTGCCACAGTGAAATTTGAGACAACTTAATAGACAGAATTTGCAAAAAAAAAAAAAAAAAAAAATACTAACTCGTCTTTATGTTTATTAAATAAATCAAAATTCGTTTTTTTTTTTAGTAATTTTTCATTTTGAGACAAAAATAAAGTAAAAATAGATACAAGAAAATAAAAAAAAAAGGAAAAAGAAAATAAAAAAAAAGGAAAAAGAAAATAAAAAAAGGAAAAATAAAATAAAAAAAAGGAAGAATAAAATTCTATCCATATTTGAAATTATATTGATCCATTGTTATTAAATATTTTGACAACAATACTCAATTATTTAATAAAAAAAAAAAAAAAAATTAAAAGAAATTTTTTTCATCCAATTTTTATATCAAAACTAATTTTTTTCAACGAAGCTAAAGTACGCAACGTTTATGATAAACGATTTTTAAAGAAATAATTTTTTAAAATGAAAAATTTTATAATTTTTTGCCTAAAAAAATATTTCATGTAGTTTTCATTAATCAACAAATTATAAAAAATTATTTTTTATGCAAAAAATTAAAAAAAATTTTCATTTTAAAAAATTATTTCTTTAAAAATCGTTTTTTATAAACGTTTGCGAACTTCAGCTTCGTTTTTTTTTCATTCAATTTTTGCGAAACAAATTTTTTATTTTCATTTTGAAAATCCGTTTAAAAATAAATAAAACACATTTTTTTTTTATTTCAATTTTGATGAAAACAAATTCTATTTTTATAAAAAAAAATTTCAGTTTAATTTCGATGAAAACAAATTCAATTTTAATGAAAATAAATTTTCAGTTCGTTTTTTATAGAAAAAAAAAAAAAAAATGTAATTTAATTTTAATTGAAAAAAAAACATTTTTAATAAATAATTAACAAAAAAAAAAAAATTTCAACAATAAAATGAAATGAAAAGTTTCTTTTTTCCAAACAACAATAACTAAAAAAAAAAATTTTCCCACTCGCAAACAAAGCGAAAATTTCAAATATTTATTATCATTTCATTTGTCAATTAGTTGAAATATAAATCCCTCGTCATTTGAGTTTATCAAAAATTAAAACCACCATCGGTAACATATATATATATATATATATATATATATATATATATATATATATATATATATATATATATATATATATATATATATATATATATATATATATATATATATATATATATATATATATATATATATAGCATTATGCGACGCTAAACCAATTAGATTTACAAATATAATCGTGAAATGTGTGCGTAAATATAAAATGACAAATTACGTGAATAAATATATAGGAAATGTCAATTAATTGAAATTGCGCGGTAAATGATAAAATATAGTTATTATGTAACGATAATAATAATAATAATAATAATAAATAAAATTGAGCTGTGATTTTTAAAATAATAATTATTATTATTATTAACTCTCCGAGAGAGAAAATTTTGTCATTCGTCTGGTTTTTTAAAAATTTAATTACAACACTTAATATTGTAGAAGAGTCCACTTCCTCTTATGAAACAAAAGGCAGCATCTCATTTTTTTGTTCGAAAGATGAGAGATCCTCTCAACGTTCATCTTTCACGATTTTGTGGATTTTGTTTACAACTATCGTGTTACGTAATTCCGCATTAAGACAATTGTAATATAAAAAAATGCTATTTTTCTTCATTTTTTTAAAGAAAACAAAAAAAAAAATTCTAAAAAATAGTCCAAGTAATAAATAATTCTTTTAAAAATAACGAATCAAATTTTCCAGTTATTTATTCAATTTTTTTTTTTTTTGAAATTTGATATTGTTGAATTTTTATTTAATTGAAAATTAGAAAACAGAATTTTGGTGCGAAAAAGAATTTTTATTCAACCGAATTTCATATTTAATTCAAAAAAAATTTCAAATTTTTATTAAATAAAATTTTCGGAATAATTTTTTATTTAACCGAATTTTTATCTTTCAATTTTATTTTTTTAATTTTTTTTTTTCAATTTTTATCGTTCAATATCAATAAATTCGATTTTATAAAATTTGCCTTTATTGTTAAAAGAAATTTAATTTAATTTTAGAAAAAAAAATTGTTATTTTTAATAATAAATATTAAATATAAATAATTAATAAATATTAAATATAAATTATAAATAAATAAATACCCAAATAATAAAATAAATAAATACCCAAATAATAAAATAAATAAATAAAAAATAGTAATTTTTTTTCTTCTAAATATCCCTTATTTTAAAAAGGAAAATTTTTTTCTCAGCTGGCAAAATCGATTTGTAGAAAAAAATTTGCATCCTTCTTTGGAAAAAAAAAAATGAATGATGAATGAAATCTTAAATAAAAAACAAAAATTCTCGAAACGAAAAATATGATTTCTTTTTTCAAAATAAATAAATACCTGCTTGTCCCTTTCAGCCGTTGCTTTTCCGGAATCAAAATCAACTGTCGTTTTTGTCGTAAGATCCGGTTTTTCGCGAATCTTTTCCATAATGAAGTCCATGACAGACATAATAGCCTCGATGCTGCCAGTGATTAGACAAACTCGTTCCGTGGTTCCTGGAAAATACAAAGAATCATCATCATCATCATCATTACTATTATTATTCCTATTATTAAACCTATTATTACATATTCTTATTTTTACTATTATTATTCCTATTTTTCTTTTTTTTATAACTATTCCCATTATTATTATTACTATTATTATTCAAAATCCTACAATTATTTATCAAACAGTAAACGGTGTAAATTATTATTATTAACAATAATATTACAAATATTATCACAAGAGTTACAAAGATTAGAAAGAAAAAAAAAATATTAAAGAATCGAATGATGCAACGAGATTATATTTCGATTAAAGAATAGTTAATTTTAATTTAATAATAATTACGTATATCACTGTTGAAAGAGTTGCTTTTAATTACCGTTATGCAATCGGATGAAGATTATATTGTGACAAGTGTATATATATATATATATATATATATATATATATATATATATATATTCGAGAAATAAAAAGAAGAAAGAAGGAAAAGAGAAAAAAAAATAGAGAGAAAAAAGGAAAAAAAAGAAGAATTACCAGGATAAAAGTCGTGGGATTTCGACATCTTGACTCTAGCCCCCGTATCTTTTTGTAATTGAGCAATAGTTTCTCCTCCTTTTCCAATGATGGCTCCAGCCGCCACCCCCGGAACCAAAACTTTGAGATGATATGTGCCATCTCCTCCTGTAAATCGAGAAAAAAAAAATTATTTTTCACAAATCAAATTAATTCAAAATAAATTCAACTTAATTATAATATCAATTTATCAAAAAATTATATACATTTAATAATTCTTCTTTTTTCGAAAAAATAATAAACCAAAAATTTATTCTTTCTAATTCCTATCGAAAATTCAATTTATTATTTTAAATTATAAATAATTAAATTAAATATTTAATTTATTTATAATTTTTGTCAAATTCTGTATAGAATAGAATTTTTTTTTTTATTAATTATTATTATTATTATTATTATTTAGATATAAGAACAATTGTAATTGGATCCTCAAACCCTGCTACGTAGGGAGAGTAAATAAATTATTATTATTATTATTATATTATTAATTTGAAATATGAGATTTTTTAATCAAAATAATTAAAAATGAGACTTTTTTTTGTATAGCGAATCGAAATAAATTCTATAAAAATTACATTCAATTAGAATTTATATACGTACGATTAAATCTGAGTTTTATTTCTATAACCTTTTCAATATTATGCTAATAAACGTCATATATATATATATATATATATATATATATAAGATTCTGCGGTTCCAATTGCAAGAATTCTTTTCAAAAGTTACATTAAAAATTTAATGCTGCAATTTGAAAATAAAATTCACTATAAACTTCAATTTAATAATCGAAAACATGAGATTATTTTGCAGAATACCAAAAACAAGAAAAGGAAAAATATTAAGTAATCAATAATATTAATAATTAATAATAATTGAATAATAATAAAAAAATAATATTTTTTATAAATTTCTAAATTTATCATTCGGTAAAGGTATTTAAAAAATAGTTATTATTTTATTTTTTTTTTATTATATAATATAATTTTATATCATAATAAATAATTTATAATTATTAATAAATAATAAATAATTAATAATAATAATAATAATAATAATAATTTTATTTTCGAGTTTATTTTCATTGTATACCTTTTCAGGCCTTTACAATTTCCATAATCTGCATAATTATAAACATTCTTAAAAAGTAAACTTTACAACATATATTTATATATAATTAATAATTAATAATAAATAATAAATAATTAAAGATTATTAATAAAAAATATTAAAATTGAATATAAAATAAAAATATTAAATATAAATTAAATTCTATTAAAATAAATAATAAAAAATTATTATTATCCTAAATATTAATTATTAAAAATTAATAATTAATAATTAATATTAATTATTCAATAATAATTAACTATAATAAAGTCATTAATAATATAATTGTAAAAAAATAATTTTTAAATAAAATCCCTCAACAATAAATTAAAATATTATTTCTAAATTATAAAATTCAGATAAAACAAAAATAAATAAATAAAATCACATACATCATTGAAATGAAAAAAAAAATTAAATAAAAAATCAAATAATAAATAATAAAATAATTATTAAAAACAAAATATTAAATAGAAAAAAATTAAATAATAAATAATAAAATAATATTAAAAACAAAATATTAAATACAAAAAAAATTATTACTAAAATTTATTATTATAAACAATAAATAATTAATTATTTGAATTAATATTCCGCCAATAGAAAAAAATAAATAAAAAATGTTCACACGCTTTTTTTTCATTTTTCTTTTTTACATAATTTGTAATATATAATATATATTAAATTATCGTTTGCTTTTCAAGGATCATTAAATAATTTACTAATTTTAATTAGACGAGGCAATATTAGTAAAGCCGCATTCATTTAAAATAAATTTATAAACACTTAAGAGAGGCGAACGTAAATTTTTATTTTATTTTTTTTTTTAATTATTTTTTAAATAATATTTCACGATGGAGAAATTTTTACCCATTAGGATGAGGGGAGGGGGGGGAATAGAGGAAACGCTGATATTATGACAGTAATAATAAAAATAATACTAATTATTATTATAATTATAATTATTACTATTATTATTATTATTATTATTAATAATATTATTGTTATTATTATTATTATTATTATTATTATTATAGTAACATCATTTTCGTTTTACACGTGCAAAACTGTAAATGCATTCCAGGTCAAATTGCGCAATCATTCGATATGTAAACACGCCTTCTCTATTGATTCCGAAATGTTTCTATCAGTTTTGTAAGTGGAAATTTCAACAGAAAAGATGCATGTACGTATGTATGTATGTGTGTAGAAATTCTTTTTTCTAATTGATGCACATAATGTGATTATTGATTAGGTAATTAGTCAATTTTTGGTATTATTAGAAATCACCGAAAATAAATTATTTCAAAAAAAAAAAAAAGAAACTATTTTTTTTCTTTTTTTGAAAATTTAATTTATAAAAATATGAAAATTAAAAAAACATATAACAAAATAACCTCCTTTTTTCAAAAAAACGAATATTAATTTTTTTAATTAATCAATATTTTATTTTTTAAAAAAATTAATAATTTTGTCATATTAATTAATTTTTTAAAAAACTAAATAAATAATAATTTTTGTAATTAATCAATATTTAATGAAAAAAAAATGCAAAGAATAATTTTTTGGTTATTTTCAAAAATTTATTCTTTAAAATAATAATAATATTAATAATAATAATATTATTAATAATAATAATAAAAATAATAATAATAAAAATAATAATAAAAATAATAATAAATTAATTTTGGAAACGTTTCTAGAAAATTTTGTATAATAAATAAAACACAAATATACACACGAGAAAATTTTGAGAAATTATTATTGATTTTCCTTTCAAGATTTGTTTCGCTCCATTTTGCAAATGCCAGAAAATTTACTGGATTACGAAAGTACGCGTGTGATAGATATGATATTGAATCCAAAAATAGAGGACAAAATTTTTTGCGAAATTTTTTTTTTTTTTTTTTTGCAAAAATCGCGTAAATTCTCGTAAAATTAAAAAAAAAAAACGCACCAATTTTTTTTTTCATCAAGGAAATAATTATAATTATATGAAATAAAAAGCAGATATTACTAAAATGAAAAAAAAAATCTACAAACAAAACTAAATTTATAAAAATAAATGTATCAAAAAAAAAAAAAATTTCTAACTTGATAAATAAATAAATAAAATAAAAAAAATAAATAAGCAAAAATAAATTTATAAAAATAAGGAAACTATTAAATTTTTTTTTGAATAAAATCAAAGAAACCATAAAAATAATGAATAAAATCAAAGAAACTAAATACGTGTTATTTTCCGTCAAAAGTCTAGACTCCGAGGTTACACAACGTTAAAAATGAATAATCTCATCACTAATGGTAATAGATAACATCGCCGAGAAATTCAACGCAAACGAGCAATATATAAGTAAAATCACTTAATAAATTTATAACTTTCTATATAATATAATAAAATAAAAATACAAAAATATTCTCTCTTAAAAAAAAAAAATATTCCTCAAAAAAAAGAAAATAAAAAATTGATTCCCTCATTTTATCATAAACATTAATTTATTACCTAATATATATAAATAGCAATAACCAACACACATGTGTATTTCAATCAAAACAAGTGAAACAGGAGAATTTTTGTTCTAACCATAAATGATAAGAAACCTGAAACGAATCAAGTCAAGTTCACTATCAGTCACATATATACATATATTTACACATAATGCAAACCTCTATATTCCATTTTTATAAAATAATTATTTTTTCTTTATTTCTAATTAGAAATAAAGAAAAAATAATAAAATATTTATTTATATTAATATTTTTTTTTTAAATTTATTCCAATTTTTCAAATTACCACCTCGTTTTTGACTCACGTAGTTCAATTCACGATTCCTAACCTCAAAATTAGTTTTAATTTTTCTAAATTATTTTCAAAAAATTATATTAAAATTCAAAAAAATTAATAAAAATTAAATACTAAAAAATATATGAAATGAAATATTAAAATACAAGTTTATGGCGCAATATTTAAAAAAAATAATTCGGGAAAAAAAAAAGTTTAATCGATATTATAGACTGACGGAAAAAAAAAATCGCGACGAATAATATATATATACAATTAACGAGAGAATCTTTGCAAAAATTTTCAATGACAAATTAGCAGTTGGCAAGCAGCGCAAAGTGTCGTGTCGTGTCGTTAAATACAAACAGCTGTTTGACAGATGGAAGCCCCTGTGTGTATGTGTGCGTGTCGTGTACCGAGTCGTTTCGACCTTGACCCGCGACCTCGCTGCAACGACGGTGCCCAACAACTTGATACCAATGCGCCACATCCCTAGCCCCCAGGTCAACCCTTTTCTCTCCCCGGGCTTCAATTTTCCGATCCTGGGGAAAATTTATTCCCTACACTATAAATTATATCTTTATTTTATAATTAAAATTCAAAAATCACTCTCTCATCTTCCAGGAAATGAAACTTTTAATTACGAAACATAACCTAACATTTTTTTTTTTAATCATAACCTAAAAACTTAATTTTTTTTTTGTAAAATAAGAATAAAAAAAAGGGTATTTTTTTTCATGAGGGGTTCACCGACCGAGAAACGATTTTCCGCTGGCCCGGAAGAAAATTTTTCTCTTCCTCCTTCTCTCTCTCTCTATCTTTCGTGTCAGGAACAAACCTCAAGGAAGATGAGAGAGAGAGAGAGGATAAAATCTGCAGAGTCATACGAGCATGTACTCCATTATAAAACGACCAATCCAAACGCCCACACATACACAGAGAAACATCAAATTCAAAACAAACAGGTGTTAGGATGCGACGTGGCACACATTTAATAAATTCGAAAAAAAATACATAGTTCCCGAGGCTTAACAAAATTCCGAGAATGTAACTCCAAATTCGAATGAAAAGAATATTTTAATATTAAAGTGTAGGAGTTTCACTAAAAAAGGAAAACGATATTTAAAAAAACGTTTTCTTTTTTTCTATTATGTAGGTCAAAAAATTTCCATAAATCGAAGAGACGAAAAATTGCATTTTTTTTCAAATAATATTCAAAGAAAAATTGATTTACGGTAAATTATATATATAAATCGGGAAATTAACAAAAAAAATAACGAATATTTTTTTTTTTCTATTTGAAAAAAAAACTTTTCAAGGACACAATAATTGAGGATTTACCTTTCATTTCTTTATTTCTGTCTCCAATATTATTGGTTTAAACAAATTAAAATTACTTCACTCACACGGAACTATTTTCACGTCAGAATCATTAAGGTTAAAAAAAAATACCGAAAAAATTACTTTTTGAAAAAAATCACTTATATGAATTTAGTGAACGAAAAAATAAACACAGTGAAATTGGAGCAAGAAACACGAATCAAATCTAAAAATAGATAACAGTAAAAGCACATTAAACAAAAAAAAAAAATAAAGGGGCAAAAGGGAGGGGGAGAAAAATCGAAAGCTCAGGTGTAGAAAAACATTGAATTAAATAGTCTCGGACGAGAGCGAATGTCATTGCTTCATTCTATTCGAAGGCGTGTGCGAGTGACATAACACGTCAATTTCACGTCGCACTAAAAACTTCCTTGAAGGCCGCGCGCTCGCGATATAGAGAGAGAGAGAGAGAAAAAAATATCCGCCTTCAGAGATTCACAATTTTTTTTCACAATAAAAAAAACAGCACTTTTTTTTGTTCTTGAAAAATAATTTTTTTTTCTATTTCTAGGTTATGTATTTTTAATTCTTTTTTTTTCGATTTTCACTTTTGACAATTTACCTGAACCATAGTGTGACCTCTTGGTTGCGCCATTCTCAACATCACAATCTAGTGGACGCTTCCTGGAGTCCGCGATCTCTGGGGAGGGACACGTTTCCATTCCCGAGTCGGCGGCCATCTTGGCGAGGTTGTTGTTTCGCGCAGACTGAAACACACTGCTGCTGCTGCTGCTGATGATGATGATGGTGCGGGTATTGGGACAGAGACGGTAACCCTCGATAGATCACAGGGAGCAGACGAATTATCCCGTTTTGTTAGTACACGAAACACCAACACACAAAAAAAAAAAAAAAAAATTTTTCACTTTTTTTTTTTAAATTATTTTTTTTTTAAACACTATCTTGTGACGTGAGTGTATTTTGTTTGTGTACGTTCCTTTTTTTAAAATGAAGGTTTTTTGAAAAATATATATCTATATGCGGGAGGTGGTGAATTGTGATGGTTGGTGGTGGTGGTGGGGGGGAAAGGGAATTATTTCTGGAGGACGATGGATGTGTGTAAGGGAAATGAAATTGATGATGAGAACGAACGTACGAACGATTGGGCGGACACACTCACTCGCATTAGCGGAGTGCCGCGTCTCACTGACGACTGGCGGAACACAGCGAACGAGCTGCTGCTTCGTCCTCTCGCGGTTGCCTTGTCAAACTTTGTGTCACTATGTTCACTCTGAATAGTTGTATCTCACTCTTTTACATTTGATATCAATTCAATAATCAAGTGATTCTCTCTCTCTCTTACACACATTGCGCGCACAATCCAGGAGCGTAAATTATTGTACCAAATGTTGCCCGGGATAGTTTGTAATGTTTTTTTTTTTCGTTCCTATAAAGAAATAAATAACTTTTCTTTCCCCTCCCAAGCAGCCCCCTATGAAAAAGGGGTTAATTTTAGCTGTGTTTTTTTAGGGGGGGGGGGAGTTGGACCTCAAAGAAGATGAGAAAATTTTTATTTCGTCAATAAAGTGAGGTTAGAAAATTAGGAGACAAATAAAGGAATTTTTTTTTTTTGTACGCAGGATATATGCAACATTGTTTACATGAGTGATGGAAGGGTAGTGAGTTGGTGCATGGCGGGTTGCATATTGGAAGGTCGTCCCCTTCAAGTGCCCCTGACTGTGCGTTAATTAATATTAATGCAATAATAATAATAATAATACGGAAATCAATATTACGGGTAATAATAATATTATATATTTATTTATATAATTATATTTATTATTAAATATAATTAATTTTTATTTTTAAGAAAATAATATTTTCTGTACATAAAAAAAAAATTGTTTTTTTTCTTGTTTAAAATAATAATAAAATTTTTTTTAGCAGTAAAAAAATTCATTATAAAAGTAATTTGGTTTAAAAAAATAAAAATAAGGAAATGAATTTTATTTCAGAGCAAAACTAATATTTTGAGATGAGAAAATAATCTCTCATCGTGTTAAGTTAGGGAAAATATAATATATTAAAAAGATAAGAATTAAAAAATGTGTAATCTTTAAAATTTGATAAGAAATTTTTTGAAAGGGCTAATAACCTACGCCGATAAGTTAAAAACGAATTATCTTTCATTATAATAATAAAAATAAAAAAAAATTCTTTAATTTACTCTATTTTTGAAAAATAGTTTGAAATAATTTCAAGTTTTTTTTGCGGGGTAATTTTTTGAAAAATTTCACTTTTTTTTTTTTTTAATAAAAAATAAAGTAAATACATTTTTTAAAAACGTTTAAATAATAGAAATAGGTATTTGTAATAAAAAATAAAATTTTTTTTAATTAATTAATTTTTTCTTAGTATTTTTTTTTTATTATTTTTACTATTTTGTTTCTATTATAATTTTTTTATTGTTAGTATTAGTATATAATATTTCTATTTGTTTTTACTATTTTTTATTATTAGTAAATAATAAATAAATAAATAAAAAATTATTTTTATTATTATTAAATAATAAATAAATAAATAAAAAATTATTTTTATTATTATTTTTATAGTAATATAGTAAAATATAATGAAAGTTTAAACGGAATGATGAAATTAAATTAAGAAAATTAATTTACAGTATAGGAAATTATAATTATGATATGAATGAAAAAAAAAAATAATAATAAAGAAAGTTTAATACCAAATTTCAATTAGTGAAGGAAATATAATTTCTCCAATAAATTATAACGTTTTGAGCAAAAAAAAAAAAAAAAAAATCTGTTATTTAAGTCCCCCTATCATCTGTAAAATAATAATAATAGACAATAATTACTTTTCTTGTCTCGTAAATAATTTAAATATTTGATTTTTTCTCCTTTTTCTTTCATGGCATTAAAATGTTTTTATATTAGATAGCGAAAATCGCACCAATTTTTATATATAAAAATAAAAAGAAAGAGGATTTTTAAAAATTTTACGTTATTATTATTATTATTATTTTTTTTTATTTTCAGGATTATTACTATTTTTCAAATAAATAAATAAATATTTTTATTATTATTATTATTTATTTTTACTATTATGATTTTCTTTTTAATTTTTATGATTATTATTATTATTTATTTTTACTATTATAATTTTCTTTTTAATTTTTATGATTATTATTATTATTATTATTATTTATTTTTTTTATTTTCAGGATTATTACTATTTTTCAAATAAATAAATAAATATTTTTATTATTATTATTATTTATTTTTACTATTATAATTTTCTTTTTAATTTTTATGATTATTTATTATTATTATTATTATTATTATTTATTTTTACTATTATGATTTTTTAAAAAATTTTTATGATTATTATTATTATTATTAAAATGACTATTTTTATACAGTAACCGCATTTCATAGTGAAGAGGAAATTGACGAATGTAACTGAAATTTCAAATCTACTTTCTTCACTTTCACGAATAAATATTATATATATATAGTGGCCCGTGGCATCTCGCATCTTATTTCAGAATATGTGTGTGATAAGATATTACATACTGTGCGATAAACTGTAGAAATATAGAAAAAAAAAAAGTAAAATAAAATGTGAACGCACTTCTCAAAATTCCGTGTATATTTTTTATAAAAAAATAATTTTTTAAATAAATTATAATTAAATATATTTTAATTACTTTTGTTATTATTATTATTATTATTATTATTTTTCTTTGTTTTGTTGCTTAACTATTTTTTTTAATGTCAATTTTGATTTTCAATAAAAAATTTCAAAATTACAAAATTAAACAAAAATTTTTTCTTTATTTACTATTTATTATTTATTTATAATCTATAATAAATTAAAAAAAAAATTATTTATAATTTATTATGTTATATTTATTAGTTTTTATTTTATTATTAATTTTCTTTTTCGGTATTACTAAAAAAAAAAATATAAAAAATCAAATACCACCTAATTATTTTTTTTTTGTTCAATAAAAAGAAAAAAAAAATAATAATAATAATAATAATTTTTCCACCATTTATGCGTCGAGGCAAAAGGTGAAAATAAGAAATTTGTTACAGTTTGCAATATATACTATAATAAAAATAATTTTATAATGATGAGAGTATATATATATATATATATATGCTATATGGCGCGGGATAAAAGAAAATATGCAACATGTATAACAATATGTACTGTTTTGTTTCGCATTATAGTACTCACGTGCAGAGGCATGCGTGTCATGCATTAACAACTGTAAATGCACTCAGCAATTGACTATTCACTATACATATATATATATTTCAAGGGAATTTAACACGGTTCAAATGGATCCCGGAAGCTTGAAAGCGCACAGATAAAGCACGAAATTTTACATATTTTTACATTTATATATTTAAATAATATATAATATAATATATAAAATATATAAATATAACCACAAAAACCTCAAAGTTTATGACTTATTTTTTCTCGCATAAACAATAAAAACAATAAACAGTATGAAAAAAAAAATAATAATAACTTTAATAATAACAATAGTAATAATAATTATAATAATAAAAATAATTTTCTTCACACAAAAAAAAATAATAATAACAATTAAAAATAATAAATAAAATTAATATTATAAATAAAAATAATTGCAATAATAATAATAATAATAATAATAATAATAATAATAATAATAATAATAATAATAATACTAATAATAATAAAAAATATTAAAATAATAATAATTTTTTTGATATAGACAAAATAGACAAAATGCTCAATTTCGTTAAGTAGTTAAAAATAACTTTCTAATATTATACATGATTATTTTTGTCATTTTCCTTTTGACTTATCTTTATCAACTACGAGATCAACTATAAATATTGTAGAACAAATAAAAATGTAAAAATGAATTACAAATATTGTGCGATTAAATATAAATTATTTTCACGTTATTTAAAAAAAAGAAACGGTTATAATTAACAACACTCAAAAAGTAATTTTTGGCTCTCTCTCTCTCTCTCTCTCTCTCTCTCTCTCTCTCTTTCTCCTTCTCGAAAAAAAATATTATTGGTTCAAATACAATTTATTTAATTCAAATAAAAATTATTTGGTTCAAGTAAATATTTATTTAACGTAAAGTTAAATCTGATTATTTTAATCAAATAATTTTTTATTTTTATAATTGTAATATTAATTTTAATTTGTAGATTATAATTATAATTATTATAATTATTATATTAATTAAGTGTTGTATTATTAATTATAATTATTATGGAAATTAGTTATTAAATATAATTGTAATATTAGTTATAATTATTATATTATAATTTATAAAGTATTAATTATTATAATTGTAATATTTAGTATAATTATTATATTAAGTATTAATTATAATTGTGGTATTAATTATAATTATTATCAAAGAATTTTTATTTTAAATTTAAAAATTAATTAATTGATGAAATTATGAAATAGAAAAATTCAGTTATGAAGAATCGAACCCCGGTCCTTGCTGTTAAAAATCCAGTAGGAAAACCATTCGGCCATTTCGACATATTGCGGATTATTAATATTGATTATAATATTGTATATTATAATAATTACAATTATAAAAAATACAAGTATATTAATTATAATTAATTACAATTATAATAAATACAATTATAATAATTACTAATAAAATAATTACAATTACAAAAAATACAATTATATTAATTATAATTAATTACAATTATAATAAATACAATTATAATAATTACTAATAAAATAATTACAATTACAAAAAATACAATTACATTAATTATAATTAATTACAATTATAATAAACACAATTATATTAATTATAATTAATTACAATTATAATAATTACTAATAAAATAATTACAATAATAAAAAAATACAATTATATTAATTATAATTAATTACAATTATAATAAATACAATTATAATAATTACTAATAAAATAATTACAATTACAAAAAATACAATTATATTAATTATAATTAATTACAATTATAAAAAATACAATTATAATTAATTACAATTATAATAAATACAATTATAATAATTACTAATAAAATAATTACAATTATAAAAAATACAATTATATTAATTATAATAAGAATTCATTATTAATAATTAATTTTTTATTAAATAAAAATTATATTATAAAAAACTCGATAAAAACCAAAAAAAAAAAATTCTTATTTAACAGCAAAAAATTTTT